CCAAAGGTTATTTATAAGTCTTGTTCCATATCTTTGTTCCCTTAAAAGTTATAATTATGAAATGTTGCATAGTGTGGGCACTGTTGGAGCACTATATTCTGTGAAAATTTGGTTGCATAACAATAAGCCGTTTTGAAGACTGGCCTGGTGTACGCTATCTTGATCATCACGCCAGCGTACATCATGAAAACAATTATTATTTCCTAAACTAAAGACGAAGATTTTTTTATTATTGCACTAATTATGCGCTATTTACGCACTATTTAATAGCATGACGGACACTGATTTCATTCATACATTTCTTCGACATATCGATCCTCAACACAACAAGACAGATAAATATATTACCGGCTTCGTGCATAGGTTTTAAACGCAGCGCATTAAGGCAGAATTATACTTATCTGCTGTGTTGTAACACGATCGGTTTCATACATTTAGTACCGTTAACTATACTGGAATAGGGAGATGGGGCCATGACCCACCACGCGGGCCCAGTGCGGATTGGCGGGTGCTAACGACTGCAGATGCAGCCGGGACCAACGGCTTCACGTGCCTTCCGAAGCACGGAGGAACTCGAGATAGAAGATTTTTGGCCACCCATCCAATGACCGACCACTGCGAAAGTTGCTTAACTTCAACGATCGCAGCCGAACGAGCTAACCACCTGCGCCATCGAACTCCCTCTACCTCTTCCTATTCCATCCATAGGGAAGGCCTGTGCCCCAGCAGTGGGGACATTAATAGGCTGATGATGATGATGATGATGAGAACTATACTTGTGTGTCGCGATCAATGTGTCAACACCGTTCTTACTCTAACCTTACTAAATGATTGAAATAGATAGCTCTCTGGTGCGTGCGTCACAACATAACACTACAGATATATGAAGTTCCGGTCGTAAAAAAATATATGTATACATAAAGTTCTGTTTCGGTCGGACGCATGACGTGTAGAGGCAGTGTTGCCAGGTCTCCAGATTTTACAGGAGATCTCCTGTTTTTCGGAAATTTCTCCTGTTCTACTGTTTTTCTACATGATTCTCCTGTTTTTCTTAGAATACGATTTTCTCTGTTTTAAATTTAAATACAATTCAACATGCAATTTAAAAAAATTAAATTGCATGTTGAATAGGGTAGATGCAAATATAATATTTATGAAAATTTTATGATTAAAATGTTAAAAAAATATAAAAGAAAGGCCACTGCAACGTTTTTATTTTACCTAATGTTGTTTTTTAACAATAATTACGAATTAAAAATGACTTGGAAAAAACCTATTTTAAAACACCATCAGCGTTTAGTGACGTCACTCCTGTTATGACAACTTATTTGAGATTATGGTCATAAAAGTGAATATTATTTTATGGGAATATTAATTGCGTTTTTGAAGTTATACTTCTTTAGCCGCGTTATGAAAAAATGATGAGAGTGAAATTTTAAGATGCGCGCGCAACACTTTAACAGAAAAGTAACACCATGAAGTCGGCCGCAAAACCGCACATTACTCGTAAGTCTCGAAAAAAAGCTTCCAACAAAATAGTAATAGGATCTCTTAGTCGCACATGTTGGGACGCTCGTCGCCTCTGATCACTGTTTTCATATTTATAATATTTATTATTTAATAAAACTGTAAAAATGTGCGGGAGGGCGAAGGGGGAGTGTGAGAAGACTGACGTCAAATAAAGATAGGCGTAGGTAGAAAATACTTATATTGTGATTAGGGTTGCCGTACTTTATTATAAAGTATTGTACGTTATTTCGGGTAATTGTACTCTATACTTTATGCCAACAATAAAGTACGCGAAAATACTTTATTTAATGTGATTTGATTACTTGGGAATTAATTTTACATATAATATAAATAAAGAGGATAGGAAGATTTTTTGCGTAAAACGGAACAACAGTATGTATAATATGTCGCCCTTAGCCCATTCCTGCAACATTGTCGCGGCTGTATGGTTTTGTACAATGGTCTTTCCCATTGCGGATAAGAACTACAGAATTTTAGTAGCCACAAATTATTTATTAAATATTGCTATAAGCACCGTAAAATATATTTTAAGCTTACTAATAAAGTGGATTAAAATGTACTTTATTTTGGACACAATGTACTTTTTTTCTACCTTTCATATCCAATGTACTTTATTTGGACTTAAAAAAGGTGGCAACCCTAATTGTGATTACTATTCAACATTTGTAGGAGAAATGGTATTACTGTATCCCACAAGTGTGGAAGTACATGTATACTATTATCAAGACACTAAGACGTCCCACGTGGTGGAAGCGTATAGCGTGCAAGACAATAGGCCCTACCTACGAAGCGATGACTTGGTCAATTTCCCAAGAACACCTTATACAAGTGGTGTCAGTATAGTATAGCACGATTCACATGCGTACAGCGCCATCTAGTAGCGGTCGGCGTGATGATATTTGATCCTATGATGTGCCATACAATCGGTGTCGGTATAGGATAGCGCGATTCACATGCGTACAGCGCCATCTAGTAACGGGCGGCGTGATGATATTTAATACTATGGTGTTACAAAAATAATGGTGGATTATTAACCACTTAGTGGTTAATAATTCACCATTATTAGACATCTGCTCGAAAGGTACTTTGTACGATCCACGGAGCTCCATAAGATGATCGCGTTGTCAAAAACCATGTTGGCACGCTCGTCGCCTCTGATCACTGTTTTCATATTTATAATATTTATCCACATGTTTCTAGTTTCTATATAGACACAACGTTAGTTACTTACAAGTGCTAATTACATATGGACTAATAATTTAAATTCAGTAGTGATTTTAATTGAATATTTTGAATATTTATTTAATTTTTCAAATTAAAACTGAACTTAATTGACTGTGTTAACTATCCTTTTCCAGTCCTTTTATTATTTTATTGTAATTATTAATTATTTGCATGCAATTAAAAAATATTTTTAATGATGCTAAAGAAGTATAACTTCTCACGCGCGTACATAAGTTACACGCATCCATTTTTTTTTAATAAAAATGGAAGTTGGGTTTATCAAAGCAGACTCCAGGAAATTACCAAGGGTTAGTGTTAACATAGTTGTAACTTTTTTTGTCCAATGTGCAGAGTTTTCAAGTGTAGAAATGAAAGGAACTAAATTACTACGGTAGGTATAAATCATAGTTGTTAAACTTCGTATTTTATTGAGCGGCTTCTACACATAGCAGTTATTTCAGCTCAACAAGAGAATCTTACGGCGTAAACGCAATCGGCTATGTCCAAATTAAAAGAAATTGAGAATTATGTACAGTAAAAATTCGAGTTACTCCGGAGCATAAAGTAAGTAAAGAAAGTTATCGTGTTACAGTTATTTTAAATGAAACGCAAAGCTTGGTTCAGTCCTGCCAATGTGAAGATTGTGCCACACATTTTAAACTTTATCCAATTTTTGACATCGTTCTCCAACTGTAAAATTAAAAATATGTTATAGACAGGTTTTGTAAATATTAGGTACGTTACTAACGCGTTTTTACGTACAAGCAGATTCATTAAGCATATAACAAGTATATTCGCCGACTTACGGCAAAGTGATCTTCTCAGCATCGAATAAAGGTCTTTGGACAATAATGGTCATTTCTCTTCGTAGCTTGAAACCACTTTTTTCTCTATTTGGGGTCAATTAAATTAATTCAATCAAAAGTAAAAAACAATTTATTTGGATACTTTGTTGAAGTAGATGGACACATTGGCACAAAACATGCGTCAACACGGCTTTTTTCCGGAATATTAGTGGTATTGTTGTGATCACCTGATGTTGATGGATAGTCCATTTTAAATTTTTACAAAAAAAATGGTTGCCTGTAAAGTCGGTTTTACGGGCGAAGATTTTACGTGACAACGTCTTTTTCTCGGTAGAATATTTATTGATATGAATATAATTAAATTGCACAATAGGAACAAGGAATTGAATGAAAATAAGAATTGCACAAATTTTAACTATAGAAATATATTTTGTTTACTAAAACATTGTACATGTAAACTTAAACTTAACACGAGAGACTCATCGTAACGTTACCGAGCGTTACACTTTTTCATAAGTGACTCCCAGCCGCAACCTAATTTAAGACGTTGTCACGTCAAAATATCTCGTAAGTCGAAAAAATATCCAAAAGTATGAAAATTGAAAGCCAGCGACGAACAAGTACGACCAGTGACAGACAGGAGTGACGTCATCGGAACCATAGGTCCGTTTTCGCGCGAAATTTTAAACTGTCAATTTAAAACCGCATTTTATCCGATAAATTACAATGTTTTAATTTTTTAATATATCTGTGGTTTATTCTACGTGGAATTCTTTAAAATGAAAACAAAAATAAAAATATTACATCTTCCCTATTGTATTTTCCGCCATTAATTATGTAGGTAACCTTAATAATTATAAAATAAATATTATTGGTATCAATTCTGGCATCATTCTCTAAAGCTAAACTTAAATTTGACAACAGTGTATCTCTGTCATTCTCTATACAGAATGAAAAGGACAGGCTGATGTTAAATTTATTTATCTTTATTTGATTTACCAATTCTAGGGGGGGGGGGGTGCAAATAGGAAAAAGTACGCCTCTGCATAGCTACTGTTTTTCTTGTAGCTCTTTCCATCATACATCTACTGTTTTTTTTCTATAACGCTACCCAATTTTTAAGAATTGCACCTGACAACACTGTGTAGAGGGGGGCATTAGAGGCACAGCACAGAGTACAGTGATTTTATGTATGTAATGCCTGCACTTCACTTGGTTTTTCGTTTTTGGTTTTTATAAACTTGACATTAGTGTGTCTCTTTCATTCCTTAAAAACTATGAAGGACAGCCTGTTTCACCTAAAGCAAATACGAATAGCAAGTGAAGTAAAGTAAAGAAGAAACATGTAAACTTGTTTTGGTTTTGCTATAAACATATACGCTAAGCTATATTTTTTGATTTAAACAATTTGTTATTGATATAAGATAATGAATTGAAGTTATGGAGTGTACACAAAGACTTGAATTTACCCAACAACTTTATGAAACAATAACCGAGAGAGTATGCTCCGAACAGGTTTCACGAATTTTATTTGAGCTTAACTTAAAATATTTTAGAGACTCAGAATTATCTTATTTCTTGACAAATTAAAGCATATGTATTACATTCCTTTTAGATTGGCTTTTTGGGCATATGTGGAGTGAAACATCCAGTGAAAAAAGGCCCAAACAAAATTGGAAGAGACCCTCAAACATGCAGTATTGTTTTGAATTTAAATGTAACCAGCTTTTTGTTTATAATTCAACACGTACCCATTGATAATATTGTGGAGATACAGTTATACAATAAGTATAAAAAAACTAATAACATTACATTTTTTTTAGTCAGTATCAAGACAACATGCCGTAATAAATGTACTAAACCAAAGAGAGTTTATGTTGATGGACTTAGATTCAGCTAACAAAACAAAATTAATGGATGTGAGTATAACTTGCCAGAAATTCAGTATTTCCCATTTTCTATAGTGAATTGCATGTTTCTTTTTTCACATTCCAGAAAGTTTTGTTACCATATGTTCCTGAACCTCTGAAGGATGGTGACTTGGTCCAGTTTGGGGATGTGTTTGGAGTTTTTAGACTTCTTGAAGAAAATGATGATTTACCTATGACACAGGCTATCAACATTCCAGAAACACCAGTTTCTACAAGACATGTTAAGGTCGCTAAAGTTCCAATAACCACAGTGCCCGAATCTCCAGATGTCAGTGACAGAGTAAGATTGTTAAATAATTTAAACTTTAATTATGTAATTCTTTTGTTATCAGTAATAATCTGATATCAGTAATAAAAAAAATACTATGCTATTCTGTTTGATATATGTATATTACATACATGTACAAAAACATTTGTTATCAACCTTGGATTGTTTTTTTTTTCTTTAAAATTCTTAAGTGTTTTGCTATTACAGAATTATATTTATTTGCTAACATACATGTAATACTTTCTTTCCAGGATGATTCATTCATTATGCCATCCCAAACCAAAGCAGAGAAATGTTTTAAAAATACTAACAGTCATTACATTAAACCATCATCAAACATGATATCAATACAGCCCATGGGATCAAGCAAAATTGATAATGTTTACTGGAGCTCTTCAAAACATTCGATTTCACTAAATTCACAATTAGACGAGTCAAACAATAAACATGACATTTTAAAAGATCATGTTAATGGTGGCATACATGAAATGGAAACACAAAATCCATTTTTAAATGAACAAGATATCAATCAAAGATATGATAACATACATGACATGGAAACACAGGGGCCGTTTTCAAATAAAAATGGTCCAGATAAAGATAATAACTGCATTAATATAAATGATATGGAAACACAACTTCCATATCCAAATGACAAATACTTAAAACATAATAATAACATGAATAAAGAAAATAATAATATAAATGAAATGGAAACACAGTTGCCATTTGTAAAAGAGAAATCTCCAAAACAAAACAAATATAATATTCATGAAATGGAAACTCAAGCCATAACTTCAAGCCAACCAAATGACAGTGTAGATTCAATTTATACTGCCAACACCCAAATACCAAAATCTCCTAGTCTCCATAGCTTAGCAACACAATTACCTCAATCAAGTAAGGAACATTTACCAGAGATTTGTAAGATAGATAACCAACATGAAATGCATTTAGATTTATTTACGATAAATAAAGATGACAATATGTTAACTGCTGACACACAACCCTATTTTCCTCCACAAGAAGTAAAAGAACACCATACAGACGCATCAAATTGTTCAAAAGTCTCTGTAAATCTTGAGTTGGATGCATCTAAAGTTGTTTCTAACAAGTCTGATGATGAAATTGTGTTGGAAGAAATGGATACTGAGCATTTTGAAGATAATTTTGACTCTCAGCCTCTTTTACCAATAGAAAACTTAGAACAAAGTAATTTTGACCATGAAAGATTGATTGATAAAACAGATATATTAATAACCAAAAATAAAAAGTTGACAACAGAAATTTATTCAGATTATTCAACAGGCAATAATAAAATAAAAACAACAGAAATTCATTCAGATAGTTCAACAGACTGTGAAGATGTAATAATATCACCTAACCAAAAAAACAAAATTAACCAAGAAGATGATGACTTAACTGATTGTGAAGACATATTAGAAGATATACCAAAAAATAAGCCAGAGCCTAAAATTGCAGTTACTAGTGTCTCAAATGATGGTTTTGAAGATATGCTTACTCAAAAAATTGATAACAATTTTGAAGAGTTACCAACTCAATTAATTGCTGAAGATTTTGAAGATAAAGTTATTGATAATAATGTGGAGTTTGAAGATATGTTAACACAAGTAATTGATGTTGGAAACATCAGTAAAGATTCTACTGAGCCTAGTATTTGTAATCAAAATGATATTGAAAGTCCTTTTAAAATCCCTTTCATATCACCTTTAAAAGTTAAGAAAAAGGATATTAAATTAGCTCTGACAAAAGAGAAGTTAAAAACAAATAAAAATATACCAATTGATAATGATGAGAATAATTATTATGAAGCAACTCAAGACATCTTGCAAGATTTATGTAGCCAACAGGTAGCATCTGCACAAAATGACATTAATATAAAAAATAAAACTGATAGGAAAGGTAATAATGAGTCAGATGATGAATTAGTTCCCTGCTCGGTTGAGAGTTACAAAACAGGCAGTAAATTTCCATACATTGAAGACAAGTTCAAAGCGCACAAGTCCTCGGACAGCACTGACGAAGATGATAAAGATGGAATCTTGGTTGCAAAAATGTCAATTGAGGAAATAAGAGAAGTAATAGGTATTGATGCTCAAGTGGACAAACTCCGTAAACAACCAAGTGAGTCCTCTGACATAGAGATCACCCCAAAAAAAGTAAGGAGTACTAAATTTATGGATGTGGATTTGCCAAACAGTCAAGAAATTAAAACCACAGTTTCCCGTCACTGCAAAGCTCCTGTAACAGAATCTTCTAGTGAATCTGAACCTGAAAACGATTCGCAGGAACAGTGTACACCTATCTTATTCCGAAAACAAAGAAAACCTAAAAAAGATGCAAAAATAGATTTAACAAAAAAATTTGATGTTGCTTCTCTGCCGACTAGAGTAATAACACGTGTTCGAAAACCAACAACAAAATTACAGGACAGTGAATATGTAGCTTCAAAATCAGCTATTGAAATATTAAAACCAAAATTTATCCCTGATCAAGAAGAGGAAATTGACAAGGACATAATACACGAAAACATATCTAGGTTGAAAAATAAAACAGAGAAATCGAAACAAAAAGATAATAAAAATAACAAAAAATCCAATGTAAAAAAAAAGCGAGGAGAGGAAGAAAATCTGATTCGGCAACAACTTACAAAAGAAAACACAGAAATTAAGGAAACAAAAACTTCTATTGTCACTAATAGTCTTGAAGGTGATAAAATTATAAATGAAAAAATAAAAGAGAGAGATATATCAGGGGTTTGCAAGAGTTCCATGGGAGCAGCATCTAAATTAAAATCAGATAATGATGCGCCTATTACTAATGTAAAATTATCTACCGAAACAGACGACAATTCATGCAAAGATACTAGTGCTAACAGTATTACGAGAAGTACGCGTAGTACACGGAGTAGACGAATGGTGAATATGGTAAAAGAAAATTCACAAAATGAAGACAAAACTACTCGGAGGAAACACAAAGAAAATAAATCAATTTGTAAAAACCAGTCAAATGAAACACCAATTGTGATAAATTTAACAGAAGATACTGTAACAGAAGTACGGCGAAGTAAAAGGCAAAGGACATCGAAAGAGAAAAAGGAAGATAAACTACAGGAAAAAGTTGAAAAAGTTTCCAAATCTATTTTAAGGAAAGACAAACTAGTTGGACACGAACAAAGCACTGTGTACAGTTTGTCTTCAGGATCGGGTACAGAGTCTCCAGTGAATTTAAAAAGGCCAGCTGTAAGTGATCTAGATCCACCCAGTACAAAACGAACAAGATCCAATGTAACCTCGAACAATGCTTCCATGAGGTCGACACCAGTTAGAATTAATAGAACGCAACATGTGCTATTCACAGCATTTCCATATGAAGAAGTAAGAGTCAAGTTAGAAAAGCTAGGTAAGGAATATCTCTTTATCTTAATTCATTCATATTATTATACTTGTTATTGGATCTTTTTCATAACTGATGTAAAACAATCATAGAGCAATCCATTTTTCTTCTAACTGTGAATCAAATTAAGATTGTCTTCTTGTGTTTCTGAAGAAAATCTTGATTCCCTTTCCATTAAATTACACAAACAAGTAGACTCCCAATTCATTCCTTATTCGTACATTTTAATTTCATTCATATCATAGCAATTAAGTTCCATGTTGAGACGAGATTGAATATAATGTTTGAGCCAGAACACTAATTACAGGTGCAGTGATAGTATCAGACGTGAGCGCATGCACGATGGTACTTACTCAACAGATTAAGCGTACATTCAAGTTTCTGTGTGCAGTGGGACTGGGCAAGCCCATCGTTGGTCCGTCCTGGGTTCAAGCTTGTGCAGATTCCAATATGATTGTTGGTAAGTGGATTTCTACGTTGAGCAGCATGATGGCGTAAGTGGTTAACGCGTTCGTCTGCGATCGTAGAGGTTAAGCAACTTTCGCAGTGATCGATCATTGGATGGGGGATCAAAAATTTACTATATAGAGCTCCTCCGTGCTTCGGAAGGCTCGTTAAAGCTACCGGTAATGGCTACATCCGCAGTCATAAGCACTCACCAACCCGCACAGGGCCCGCGCGGTGGATCATGGCTAGTGTTGCCAGGTCCAATTTGTATTAAATAGGTACAAAACTTCAAAAAAATCGGGATTTAGGGTTCCAGATCGGGACAGTAAACAAAAAACAAGGTGTTTTTAAGTTTGGGTTTAATTTATTGCGTTTTAAACTACTACTGCAAGTATATTATTATATTAATATCCTAAATTTCATTTTTTGATTAATCGGGACATTTAGCGTCCTGGTCAGGTACAAATTGGGACGCATCCCCAGACCCCTGAAATACGGGCAGTCCCGCGCAAATCGGGACACCTGGCAACACTTATCATGGCCCAATCTCCCTATGCCATCCATAGGGAAGGCCTGTGGATATTATGAGGCTGGTGATGATGAAGCAGACTTTTATACTTGTGTTTTTTTGTTTGTATCTCATAAGGACTCATATTACTAGACAAACACCTTATTCACTTCAGATCCTTGGTTGTACGTACTGAAAGACGAAGCGGCTGAGAAGAGATTCCAGTTTAACTTGGAACGCGTATTGCTGAGCAAACGCAACTTCCTTAAAGGCTACAATATGTCGTCAACACCCAATGTCTTACCAAATGCGGCAGAAATGAGATGTAAGTATCTCTTTGTTATGGTCAGTAATATATGTGTGGTTTTGAAACGTATAAAGATCTGGAAAATTTTAACATTAAAAAAAACAGATATTATTAAATTCTATTGGTCTTTTACTAGCATGAAAAGTGAGAAACATTTGTTTCAGAATCTATTTGCTATAAATATTTTTTTTTACAAAATCTGCCTTTATAAAAATGAAGCAAAATTTCATTTTATTGTTATTTCTTAGATACTTTATTAAAAGTATCTCATCTGCCATGGCGGCGTGGAAGGTGATTTAAAGCCTATGATATACTACAATAAATTCGCCACGTTCAATAATTTCTCAGCAAAATAGCGATCAGTGCATTCGCCCAGTTAGCGAAGGTTTCGATTCCAGCCTGGTAGTTGTTAACAAGTGTAATAAAAACTTTTTAAAATTCCACTGGGTCCAAGTTTCAGTCCAGACGATACTGTTTCGAATCCCGTCTGAAACCTGAGCAGCGTGTAAATTTTCCTAGCAAAATTTTCATTAGATTTGAACATCTAGCAGTTAAATGTTTAAAAATATTTAAAAAATACCACTTAAAATCTAGTAGTTTAATACGTACTCTAACCCCCTTATTTAATAAACAAGGAATAAGCTTAGACTAGTTACGCCGTGTTTTGTTCATGTCAATCAAATGCCATTTGTCATTCAATAGACAGAGACAAAACATGGAGTAATCCAAGCGTAGTTTTTATTTATTAATATCAGGGTTAGAGACTCCTTACACTTATATAAAGTTTATGTAGAATCCCAGGCTTTCAATAAAAATCTATTTGGCACTTTCAATCTATTTATAATTTCTGTTGGAGACATTTTTTCAGGTTATTTGCTTGTTAGGGTTCCGTACCTCAAAGGAAAAAACGGAACCCTTATAGGATCACTTTGTTGTCCGTCCGTCTATCAAGACGTTTTTGTCAGGAACGCGTGGAGGTATCAAACTGAAATTCATATCTAATACTCATGTCTACTGTCCCTTGAGTTGTGAAAAAATCCAACTTCTAAGCCAAAGCAATCAAAAGATGCAGCCGCTTATGCCGCAAATTTTCGAAACTCGCACAGGTATCAAAACCCTGTAGGTACTTCCCGTGAACTTAGAATCTTGAAAGGAGATTGCTCAGCTTCCATACATGTTTGGCCTAAAGACCAATAATCATGAAAAATTGTTTCCTAGATTCGAAATTATATATAAATTACTGTAGAAACGAATATTATTGACGGACACCCCTGAGAACTTCTATAAACCATATACACTGAACATATTAAAATAATAAAAAACAAATAAGTTATATAGTAAACTAGGGAAATCAAGCCAAGTACCGAAATTATGGATTAGATTCAGGTATATAGAGATTAACAGATAGTTGCCTGTTTTTAAAGTTAATGCATAAGAGTAACTTTTAAAATCAGGTGTCATTTCCGGTTATAATAAGGTACTCTGTGACAGAAACTGTGTGATGATTGTGAATGAGCCACAGATTAGAGAGAATTTTTAAACTCGTTAACCAAAGAAAGCTTAGAGTTTTAGGTTCTATAGCCATATATTCAGTAGCTTCATTATTTTTTTTATGTTTTTAAGATAACCATATTTTAGATTTTTAGTGTATCACACCTTATAATTTTATTTATTTATAGTCAGGCAACGTAGGCCCATAGATAGATACCTTAAAGTCTAAACAGATTATAATGGGTTTATATTAGAGGTGTTTGGCGAAAAATGTATGGCAATAGACTTTATGATGTCGCCTACTATATAATGTAGTGTGGATATTAATACCACAGTTTAATAAAAAAATGATTTATTTTATCGATCTTCACAAAATAGATTTGTTTTTATGTTATATAAACAACTTCGATCAGTCTTTGGCTGAATGTTACTACACCCATAGCCATTAAAAATGATTCGCATGTTTTCCAAACCGATAAAATTAAAAGTCCTTTTTAAAGTAAATATATTATACAAAGGTGTCCGTTGAAATCTAATGACTGTAAATTAAATTATAAATTACGCCAAGAATAACCGTGTATGTCAATATTTTTTGTGCATTTGGGCCAATTTGAGCAATCTCCTTTGTTACGAAGTAACGTCTTATAGTACAGATAAAGGAAAAATTGCGTAAACCGTAATTTTTCAGTTACATCATATAATAAAAAATATTCTTCAAAATTTTAAAGTTACTACCTCTTTTCTCATGAACGCGTAGAGGTATTAAATTGAGTTTGTACGGAACCCTCGTTGGGCGACTCCGACTCGCACTTGGCCTGTTTTTATAATATCAATATCGATAGCTGATATTTCGTTTTCCCAGTAATTGTCGAGAGTTCGGGCGGTTTATGGAAGGAGGGTGGGTCCCAATGGGTCTGCGTTTCGTGTATAGCCGATAAAGCCCTTTGGCCTACATTGAAGAAAAGGGGGGCTACGGTAGTCACCGCAGAGTTTATATTAGGCGGTGTACTAAGACAGAAGGTCGATATAAATTCAACTAAATTGTAACATGTTTCTATGATGCAATGTAAAGTACAAATATTTCTTTTTCTCCCAGCGTTCTTGAGCATGACGTAAATATAACACTTTGAGAGCTAGATATAGTAAAGTCGTGCTACTGGGATAATGTTCTCAATCTCATGCCTGTACTTCACTTGGCTATTCGTGATTGCTATTTGTAAACTTGAAATCGGTGTGCCGTTTATAAGCATGCATGACACATGACACCTTATAAAGCATGCATGACATACTTTTGCTAAGTTCACAAATATAAATATGAATAGCGAAGTGGAGTGCAGTGCAGTGAGTGTTTTATACATTTCTTAAGCCTGGCGCATCCAGAAGCAGCGTAGTATGTGCGGCAGTGCCACAAATCATCCACTTTTTATTGTCTCAGCCAGTTTCAATATTCAAACTTTTTTCAGAGATAGGCTTATTAAGAGCTTTGTTGTCCAAATTTTTTTTCAGATATTATTATCTAAATAATATAAATTCGGTGTTGTGAATTAAACATACCTTTTTACTGGAGGTTGATTACTGAAACTGGCAGTAAGATTGTAAAAAGTAGACAGGCAATGATTATTTTATAAATATATGTACCTGTAATGTCGTATAATAATAATTAAAGATTGAACTTAATAGCGATTATGGACTTGTTTAATTGTCTTCTAAGGCGACGTCGGTCAGAGGCAGTCTTAAGATAATTCTTAGATTGACCAACCATTTTTTTTTCATTTATTTTAATTATGTTTTATCATTATCTAGATTTGTATTATTATTCTCATTGGTTTATTATGTACAGCCCAGGGGGCCTACTGCCTATCGGGATTGCGTTGGCTATTGCATATGATTTCATTTTGTTATATCGACCGCCGAAGATTTTCAAATACCGCACGCTTATTTTCTATAAAATGTTTAATAGCTGCGTTCGGTACTTGCATCGCAGAGGCGACAGATTTTTGGTCACGTGATCACAGACTAATCTGAGCAAATTGCTATTACCGAACGGCCCGACCAACCGTAAATTAATTTATAACCTCAAACAGAAACTAACCTCATAACATGACAGATAACTAGATTAATCTTTCAAGCCGGTCAATATACTCCTAGCAAGCAGATTTACATCGGACTGATCTGAGCGGAATAACTGAACGGTTCAGATTAACTCTAGAAGAAACGAACGATTCAGACTTAAAAGATTGATCAGACGCAAATAACAAACGCAGCTATTACGAATGCAAAAAAGCGCGAAAATTTTGAAAGCCTTCGGCGGCCAGAAAAACACTATGAAACCATAAGCTATAGCAATAGCCAAAGCAATCTCGAAAAGTGGTAGGCCCACTGATCACGTTTGTGTTTACGATTTGATATGGACAACACCTTTATTATAAAGCAATAAGTGCTACATTTTGTAGTACAAGTGTATGCCTATGCAGAGTTACGTAATTTTAACTGTACATAATACATCCATGGTTTCTATTATTATGATAATTTTAGACGATATTTGTAAGTGGTTATTTTTAACGATTCATTTTTAAAGAATACAGTAATGTTAAAGAGACCCACATTTATTTAATGATATTTAGATGTCCTTTTTGACAGTTTTGTGTTGGAAAAACTTTAACTATACTGTATGCAACTAAACGGTCAAAATCAGTTGAGGAAATCCGAAACGGTAGTAAACCGACATCCTGTTGGCTCTATAATTACCTCGTTGGTCTACAAATATAATGTTTGTAAAAAATCTGTTATTATATTTAATGATTCCCAATATTTGTAAAAATAAATGATTTGGTTTTTTAATCAGTATGGTAATTTATTTATGTACATTCGATCCAAGTGATTCCTGGCTCACTTGCCCGATAATTCGCTTTTAAATGTCAAAACAATCAAAATTTCCTTCGAAGAGAATGCGTAATAGCACTTCGGACCTTCTAATGTGTATCAAGGAAACTGTGTTATTATGGATCAAAGATACTTGTATGACCTTTATTTCCAATGCAATGGATCATGTTTATGGCTATCGAGCGCAATAAAGACTCCAAAGTGTTGGCGAGGGATTTGTCTATTGGGCAAAGCCAACTGACGAAGCTGAAGACTGACAGTGATAGTATCATTTCATACAAATTAACAACCGCCAACCACCGCGGTTTGCGGCTCGTGCGTTCAGAGGTCAACATCCACGATTAGCGGCTCGTGTGTTGTTCACCTAACTTAAGATTGCATGTGTGGACACCGCAAAGAATTTTGTAACTGATTAGCCTCTTCCACGACTCGTCTCTCAATGAGAAAAAGAAATTAAACACGAGACTGTACAGACAGAATCAGTCTCCTTTGCCTTCTATAGGGCCTTTATATACCTATTTTACTTGAATGAACTGCTAGTATCAAAATCATTTTGGTCCGACTGTATAGGGTTGCTACATGACATGCATACTAGTGGCGCCATCATTTAATGTCACGACTTTATTATTCTTCAATATACAAAATGAACAAACTAAAGACGAGGCTGTATGGGCTTTAGTTCCCCTTGCCTTCCCTAAAAAGGGAGAATATTAAAAAAAATGTCACGACTTTATAGACAAACTGTACAATAATACAAAAGATTCTCAGGCTGTATGGTCATTGTTCCACTTGCCTTCCCAGAAAAGGGAGAACTTATAAAAAACAAGATGCTGTCAATGTCAAATTGACATTTTCAATCTGTCAGAATTTTTTCATCTAAGGCTAAATGAAATAAATAAAAATGTTAGAATGAGTTTTCCCATTAAATAATAGTGATTTAAGTTTTAAGTCGTGAATCATGAAAATGGATTTTAGTTCTCATAACCCAAATACTTCTAATGCACTTAGTTTAGCAGCTAGAAAGAATGATGTAGAAGCTGTGACTAGATTAATCAAGATAATAAATCCTAACTGCATAGACAACCGTGGATGGACATGTCTGCACGAAGCTGCAGATAGTGATAGTTACGAATGTTTAATGATAATTTTAAAAGATCCCAAATGTAGACCACTTGCTGAAACTCATGAGGGACATACAGCATTATACTTGGCATGCCGGAGAAAGTGTTCTTTAAAGACAATAAAAGCTTTACTTGATGAGGTGGAGGACATAGCAAATTATGGTAGCACAGAAAATGTTACCCCTTTGCATATTGCTATGGGGCAAGGTAGAGTAGAATTGGTGCAGTTGCTGTTTGATTATGGTGCAATGATAGACGTCCAAGATTTTGATGGAGATACACCTCTTCATGACGCAGCTTTGACTTCACAATATGAAGCTGTAAATGTCTTGTTATATGCAGGTGCAAATCCAGAAATAAGGAATGAGTCTAATTTGTTTACTCCGTTTCATTTGGCTTGTTTAAAAGGTTGTTATAAGACAGTTCAGAATATATTCCCTTTTATAAATGACGTAAATCAATTGTCTTCTGATGATAATAGTCCACTAATGCTGGGTGTTCAAGGAGGCAGTGATGAAATTGTGCAATTCTTACTAGACAACAAAGCTGATCCACACCTTAAAAACAGTAGTGGGCAAATGGCTTTAGATTTAGCTTTGATTTTAGGATATGCCTCAGTATTTAAAATTCTTCTCATGGTCACTGATAAAATCTTTATAAACCCTAATATTATGCCACACTACTTTAAATTTGATATTCTTGAAGCTCTTTTGTATCATGATTTAGGGCCTGAGTTCTTTGATTTTCTGGAACCATTCCATGTCTTTTTGGAGGATATAGGCGGAATAAGACCTGTTTATTTAACAAATGCACCATTGAATTCTTATTTGAATATATGTGAATACATTTATAGTCAATCAATAGAAAAATTTAGAGAATTCTTTTACTTGTTTCTGATGAGAGGAGTTTCAGTTGATGCAGTTAATATTAATGAATGTCCTCCACTAGTGTACATACACTATACCATGCACAGTGCTTGTTTTTCAGAAGTAAGTTATTATGAAGCTGTAAATACTATTAATCTTTATAAGTGTTTGTAGCATCAGATATAAACGGTGGTCATATAAACTTCATGTATTGTTTAATAAAATTATTTTAGCTAATTATTGCAGGTGTTTAAAATACTCAGAGAGAATGACTGCAATGTTGATTACTGCAGTTCAGCATGCTTGGATGGAAGCATGCATATTCCAGATGCTTTTATAGCATCATTATCTTCAGACCCTGATAGTTTGCCTCTGATGCTTCGCCACAGCATTCTCTGTGAGCCAGGGGCATTGTTGAAGTTTTCTCATGACAATGGAATATCAAACAGAATATCATTGCAGGTAACCCTTTATTTTTTAGGTTGAAAACTATCAGTAAGAAATAGCCATTGTAGAAATAAGAACTAACATTTCTCATTGCTTTAATTTGCAGGTTCAACAACAGCTGATTTCCATGATAGATGAATACTGTCAAGGAGTAACTGCTGATAACTTAATTTTCTTCGTGCCCTCATTGAAGCATTGTTGTAGGCTTAAAATAAGGACTTTGTTAAGAAAATCTGGTTTACAGACATCAACCAGAGAATTCCTCTATGTCATTAAGACTTTGCCAATTCCTTTCGCACTTAAGAATTACTTGCAATATTTGTGAATGAAATACAAAGATATTACAGCAGTTGTATAAAAATATATGTTTATATTTATATTTTATTTCAGCACAGAAATAAATTTTGCTCTGCTTTACAATAAAGTATTACAATTATATTCTTTGTCTTAATAATATTTACATTCACTTTCATATATTTTATAAATTATATACAAAAATATAATAGGTACATCACTATATTAGGTACAAGATTGAATTTTTATTATAATATGAATTATATATAATATAAATTTATTCACCATAATAACATTTATGACATTAGCTTCATTTAAAATTGGCACCATTCGCCATGAAGTCTTCAATTTCTGCAACACTGAAAGGCAATAACATAAAATATTTTTTTAAAGGAAATATTTACTAGATTTAAAAATCTGGCAGTTGAACGTTTAAAATATTTAATAACCCCATATGATTTTTATCGTCCTGCCCCTCTAGCATGGCCACCGAAACGGGATAATGATGAAGCGATATATTGAACTGTCAGACTACAGTGGAGTTTGGTAGTCTGACAGTTATTGCCGATATATCGCTTTATCATATCCCGTTTCGGTAGTCATGCTAGAGGGGTTGTACTTGTATCATATACACCATTGACTTGCACCAATGATACAGATGACATTATCTAAACTGCAATATCTTTTATACCATTAATAAAGCACTAACTAATACCTCTAACATGGGCGTACTATTAGTATCCCATAACACAAGCATATAAATAACTTAGTGATATAGTAGCTAGGCATAGTGGTGTTTTAATTAAAAAAAAATCCCATCACTGCCCGCACTGGGTATATGCTATATCAACTCCTTTAAACTGCATGGGAGGCGAATCTTAAGATTTAGCGTATTCAATTGATTCCCTTGGCGCACTCTGTTTTAAAAGAATTTTCACAGTAATATAAGCATGTTTTCGAAATAATGTGCTAATGATTAAATTAAAATTTAAGATTCCTTATTATTTATAAAAAAATATTTTAAAATAAATCGCGCCAGGAAAATCACCTGCACGCCTACGCAGTCTCAAGTTTCACCCAGGAGGATTATAAATTTATTTTACTAAAAATCAATAATAACGTGTATACTCACGTCCTCGGTACAAACGTGAGGTTCTCCACGCCAGTTTCAGTGATGACCACGTCATCTTCGATCCGAACCCCGCCGAACCCACGATATTTATCTACCACGTCCCAGTTGAAGAATTTAGCTTGCTCAGGATTATTCTTCGCGTTGTCCAAGAGCTACAATGATAGAACAATAAAAATAACTATTAATATTGTAGTCGTTATACAGCGAAAACTCAATAAATCGAAAGTAAGTATTTGATAATACAAATCGACTCGGTTTATCATCTGCGATAATCCGTTTTAGTGTTTCTATTAATCCATTCATCATTATCATCAGACTTTTATTGTCTCCACTTCTGGGGCACCACAGGCCTACCCTATGGACGGAGATTGATGAAATGGTCATGCATGACCCACCACGCCGGCCCCGTGCTGATTGGTTGGTGCTGACTGATGATTCGGATGCAGCCGGGACTAACGGCTTAACATACCATCCGAAGCATGGAGGAGCTCGAGATAGTGAATTTCTGGTCATCGATACAATGACCGACCACTGCGAAAGTTGCTTAAGGGTCAGTTCACACCGTGACGCGACGACGAAACTCGACGAGGCCAATGATTTCGCGCTGCGCCGCGCGCCGCCACGAGACGCATCGCTACCTCACTCGCCCCTCACCCGCAATGTAGTAGACAAGTCGCCACAGCGGCCTCAGGTTGTACCTCACGGCGTCGAGCGGCAACGCGAGACGCAGCACCGCTCTAGCACGCCGCGCGTACCGGCGATGCGCCGCGAGGCATCTCAAGGCGCAGTGCTGCGTCGTGCAACGTATACTGAATTCTCACAAGGAAATGTGTATCTTTTCGTGTAGTGAATAAAGTATATTTTGAGTCGCTTTATTCAAAATGTGCGCGCATCGTCGCGCCGCGTCGCGTCTCCGTATGAACTGACGCTAACTTCCACGCGCTAAGCACTATCCACCTGCGCTATCGAGTTCCTCTTTATTATTAATCCATTAGTGTTTTGTAAAATCTGTCTCGATAAATATCATCGACCCCCCCCCCCCCCCTGTCAATTGGAGCCGAATTGGAGCTATCAAAGTTCGTGCTCGGGTCTTTATTCATCGTCCCCACACTTACCCTCGGTATGAAGTAGCAGCCGGGCTCCACGGTGAGCGCCATGCCCGCCAGTAGGGGGCGCGCGGTCCGCAGTCGGGACAGAGGGCCGGCGGGACGCGCGGGACAGTGAGACAAGTATCCACCTACGTCGTGCACGTCCAGACCCAGTAGGTGGCCCAGACCGTGGGGTTGAAGGATGCCGTTAACACCACACTGTGTATTCGTAAACAATCATTAATTTGGAAGTTTGGATTTATAAGGTATAGGTAGCGGCAAACTTTTTGAGCAAAACCACAGACAAATAGTTATACTACAAATGGAGTTGTGTGATAAGCATTTCTCTTTGTATGTCATAATTTAATTTTACCATATTATCTCAATAATTGTAAATTTTCGTAATAACAATAAGTGACACTTTTATTCGCTGGGTGCGCGATGACAGCGCCAAATAGCGGTTACAATAACGGCGGAATTAAAATTTTAAATGGCTGTCTTAATACAGTCATTTGGTAGTTGTACCTGGAAAGTTTCCAGGTGTTTTGAAAATTGGTAATTGTATAGATTTTGAGGTGCTCTTTCCGAATTTCGACTTTGCCACCTTGTATTTTTGCCGTTCGCTCCGCCATATTGGAAAAATGGCGCCTAAAAGCAGTTTTTTGACAATATCACCTTTCCGACACATTTTACGATGAAAACAGTTATATACAAAATGAAATTAGAGACAGTTGCCTTCAACTTATTTATTTACCTTTTTTTCATAAAGTCTATTGTTTTGGCGTACGAGCGCCGCAAAGTGTACTCTGTAGAGATGTATATAATAAAAAAAGAAATAAATCGCAAAAGAAAGAGCTCCAAAAAAAAAACAAGCACAAAAAATAAAGAAAAGAATGAAAAACAAAAAAATGATGTAAAGACCTATCACAAGACTGGGATTAATATTAAAAAAAAACATCATAATCGTACAACTAACCTTGATCATTTCCTCGACGTCGCCTTTCAGAAGACCTCCCTGCTTCAAGTGTTCCAACATGGCGCGGTTAGCGAGAAGATGCATATCAGTCCACAACACGCCTGGCTTCGCTTCTCTACGAAAAAAAAACTTAAATAGAAGTAAAATATATTTGGAAAATCTATAATATGTACATCAGCAACATATAAATTAGAACTAAATGTAAAAAAAGCCAATCGATTATTATTAATCCTTATATTGCAATAAAGCTTAAAATCAGTTGAAGTAATGTGACAGTTTTGTGTAACTTGACATGTGATTGTATGTATATATCCTGACACTTCGGCATCGGAACCAATATCTAGTTTTATTTTTTTCCAAAATGTGGGAATAAACAGGCTGCATCTGTCAGCTGGCTATGCAACTCTGCCGCCATAGCGATTCCATCCAAGTTACTTATACAGAGGCCATGAATTTTGACAGATCCGTAATCGTATTGTCATTGTCAAATGGGATATTTTTAAAAGCACAGATAATAACTCATCACCCATCAAGTTATTTACGTCAATTAAATACTTTTACATCAAAATAATTATTTTACTGCAAACAAAACATCTGTTGAACAAAACCAGTGCTAACAATTAAAAATATACATCTAATCTGTAGTAAGTACATTTTTTCCTCTAGTGCTCGACAAAAAACTTGTTTAATTGTACAGAAATATGATTTTCATATCAGATGTATTGATTGCACAGCCAATACACCGATTGCACAGAAAATTAATGCATAATACTTACACTCATAACAGAACAACTCATAACGTAACAGGTTTTCCATTAAGCATTTTAAAACTTGCTCATAGGGACACTTCTGATGGTTATAAAATAATGCTTTTGCATTTTACAAAGTTGTTTTGCCCACGCAAAGAAGTACCTGGATGAATGGTAAATGTAACTGCTCCCATTTTGTCATAAACTATAAATGCAAGCATATCATGGGACTTGCCATCCGGCTCAAGTATGTGACAGCACCTGCAGAGGCCAAAAATATACTAATCGACCAAAAAAGTAAGCGTGGACGTCCCGCTAGAGCAAGACCTGCTTTAATTACCGAAAAGTAGACGTTAATTTTTGTATCAGATATTTTAGTTGGTTGTTGATCTCATTATGTCGTAATAAATAAATAATTACATTCTTATGTCATTTAAAATGGTGTTTCACTTGGTAAACTGCTGTACGAGACATAAAAATGGTAGCTTTGTTTAAAAAAAAATATGTAATAGATTTGCTGTGAGGTGGTTATTATTAGATATGCATTCTTAAAAAGCTTTAGTTTTTAATAAATGGCGATGCATCACGGACTTAAATAATTGTTACTAATATATCAATGTTTTGAGTTGACTATTTTGCTGTGCAATAAGTATTTTTGCTAAGGATTGGGAATTATTTTTTATACAAAACGTAAAATTCTCCTTATTTTTAATTGAGTTTAAATAAATTTAATTAAATCCATCATTGGCGCAGGTGGTAAGCGCGTTCGGCTGCGATCGTTAAAGTAAAGCAACTTTCGCAGTGGTCGGTCATTGGATGGTTGACCAAAAATTTTCTATCTCGAGTTCCTCCGTGCTTCGGAAGGCACGTGAAGCCGTTGGTCACGGCCCAATCTCCCTATTCCATCCATAGGGAAGGCCTGTACCCCAGCAGTGGGGACATTAATAGTCTGACGATGATGAAATTAAAAGTCCACTATACCTAATTACAGCATCCCTAGCATTGAGCACGGCTTCGTATACGAGCTTTTGCTCAGGCGTAAACTTCCCAGTGGCGGGGAAAGAACACGTGATATCTGCCGCATAACCCGCGTAATTGCCGCCCATGTCGAACAAACTGGAACAAAATTATACTTCGTTATTAAAAGAAAATAAATAAATCTTATATATAAAATTCTCGTGTCACAATGTTAGTTACCATACTCCTCCGGCCGACCATACTCCTACGGCTTGACCGATTTTTATGAAATTTTCAAAGCATATTCAGTAGGTCTGAGAATCGGTTACTATCTATTTTTCATCATCATCATCAACAGCCTATCGTAGTCCACTGCTGGACATAGGCCTCTCCAAATGCACGCCACTCAGATCGATTTTGGGCTACTCGCTATTTTTCATACCCCTAACTAATAAGGGTTGTCCACCCTTAACATTTCTTTATGTTTTGGACAAAAATTTTTAATTTTTATATAATTTGGCATTAAAAAAGACATACAACCCTAAATTTTTACCCTTCTACCACCAGCCCATATTTTTATGGCGGTTCGAAGTTCGCTAGGTCAGCTGGAAATAAATATATATTTCTAACACTTACACCAATTAGCCTAGCCCCAAAGTAAGCACTGTAAGGCTTGTGTTATGGGATACTAGGGTAACGGATATAATATATATACTGTACATATATAAGTATATTTATAAAGAAATACATATTAAACATCCACGACTGGAGTTCAAATGCTCGCATTTATCATACAAACATCTGCTCCCGGAGGTCCCCGGTTCGAAACCCGGTGGGGGCAGATGTTTGTGTGATTTCTATATAAATATACTTATATATATACAGTATACGTATTCTATCCGTTACCCTAGCTTCCCATAACACAAGCCTTACAGTGCTTACTTTGGGGCTAGGCTAATTGGTGTATGTTGGAAATATTTATTACCTACAATGCGAAGAGATGGCGCTACCTTGCAGTCTAAGAAATACTAGAAGAAATTGAGACGGCCGTTAAGGTCTTGGTAGCATAATAGGAAGTGCATCTGCCCGGATAGCGGTGGGCGAATTCGAGTCTTGTCTGCTGCCTGGACCGCGTGGATATTTTTCTAGTAAAATTTTCTCTTCATTTAAAGAATAGCTTAATATTAAAGTGCAGCCAACGAATGAGCGATCCTGACAGGTCGTGCAAATATCTTATGGTGAGAGAATTATAGTTTATTTTCGGACCTGTTTTAACTAGATTGAAAGTGTATTTTTATGACGGTCGAGTTAGGATCGCATTCTTTCTGTGCATGCATGTTATTGTGAACAATAAATAATAAAAGGAAACACAAAAAATGGGTGTGGTTATATGAAACTATATACAAGTGAAAATTTTAAAAATAATTATTAATAACGTCCCCGACTGGGAATCGAACTCGAGCCACCCGCGTAGCAGTCTAGCTTTCTATCACTGAATCACCGATGCTTGTTGATAAGGTCTGATTTTTTTAAATAACTCTAAAAATATAGCTCCCCTATCCCGGATAGGGGACACTCTGGAATGTGCCTCCTTGCCGGCGGAGGTGAGGTTTGATACCTACCTCTTTTCATGAATCATGTGTGTTTCTGTGTGTATATGTAAGTTTGTGTTATTTATGTATGAAGGAGCTCGATGGCGCAGGTGGTTAGCGCATTCGGCTGCGATCGTTGAAGTTAAGAACTTTCGCAGTGGTCGGTCATTGGATGGGTGACCAAAAATCTTCTATCTCGAGTTCCTCCGTGCTTCGGAAGGCACGTTAAGCCGTTGGTCCCGGCTGCATCTGCAGTCGTTAGCACCCGCCACATCGCAATGGGCCCGCGTTGTGGGTCATGGCCCAATCTCCCTATTCCATCCATAGGAAAGGCCTGTGCCCCAGCAGTGGGGACATTAATAGGCTGATGATGATGTATCAAGGGCTAATTTGAAAACCTTCATTTTCCAAACTTTCTGAGAAATTTGAGCACTAATTTGATAACCTTTTTCGAGATAAATAGAAATTGTTGTTCTGGCCAAAAACATTCGAGCAGCGGCCGGCAAAAGTTGTATGAAAATCCATACACGTTCGTCCATCAATGCCCATTGATGGTCACTGTAGTAACGTATAATACTTACCACATGTCTCCCTTCTCTATGAGCTTGCAATTGGGTGCACCAGCGTGGCCATAGTGCAAAGTGGCGGAATTATCGCCAGAGCCACAGATACAGGTGTACGAAACGTGCCTACACCCGCCTACGCGATAACAGTGGTCGAGGAACACGGACTCGCATTGGTATTCCATCAGACCAGGCTTCGCGTGAAGCATCACCTGATGAGAGAAAAAAATCTCTATACAAGGTTAATTTTAAAACACCAACAATCTCTTAGGGGGTGATTCTACCCATCAACAGGAACAGGGACAACGCTGAAATGGCGAAAAAATATCTGCTGTTTCATATATTTCGGCAGATTAGCACTTTTGTATGAAACAGCAGATTTTTTTTCGCGATTTTAGCGTTGGTCCCATAATAAAAGTTGTTCCTGTTGATGGGTAGAAACACTCCCTAAGAGATTGCCGGTGTTTTAAAATTAACACTGTATATAAAAAATCTTATGATTTCAAAAATATGGCGAACCCATTTTTTTCTTGCACTAAAAATAATAGATTGCCAAAGTTAGAGAACCTCTGATTGTGATACCATGCAGTATATTTTTCACTCATGCGTTGTCTCCTTCTTATATTGACGATTTTTTAGATCTTGATAAAGGAGATTGCTCAAATTGGCCTAAATGCACAAAAAATATTGACATACACGGTAATTCTTGGCGTAATTTATAATTTTACAGTCATTAGATTTCAACGGACACCTTTGTATAATATATTTACTTTAAAAAGGACTTTTAATTTTACCGGTTTGGAAAACATACAAATCATTTTTAATGGCTATGGGTGTAGTAACATTCAGGCAAAGACTGATCGAAGTTGTTTATATAACATAAAAACAAATCTATTTTGTAAAGATCGATAAAATAAATCATTTTTTTATTACACTGTGGTATTTATATCCACAACTATACTATCATTTTTACAAGATGCAAATGTGCTCAGACAATTATTATAGATGGTAGGCGACATCATAAAGTCTATCGCCATACATTTTTCGCCAAACACCTCCATAAACACATTATAATCTGTATATAATAAGTTAGACTTTAAGGTATCTATCTATGGGCCTACGTTCCCTGACTATAAATTAATAAATAAATAAGATTATAAGGTGTGATACACTAAAAATCTAAAATATGGTTATCTTAAAAACATAAAAAAAATAATGAAGCTACTGAATATATGGCTATAGAACCTAAATCTCTAAGCTTTCTTTGGTTAACGAGAGTTTAAAAATTCTCTCTAATCTGTGGCTCATTCACAATCATCACACAGTTTCTGTCACAGAGTACCTTATTATAACCGGAAATGACACCTGATTTTAAAAGTTACTCTTATGCATTAACTTTAAAAACAGACAACTTTCTGTTAATCTACATGCTCTATATACCTGAATCTAATCCATAATTTCGGTACTTGGCTTGACTTCCCTAGTTTACTTTATAACTTTTTTGTTTTTTATTATTTTAATATGTTCAGTGTATATGGTTTATAGAAGTTCTCAGGGGTGTCCGTCAATAATATTCGTTTCTACAGTAATTTATATATAATTTCGAATTTAGGAAACAATTTTTCATGATTATTGGTCTTTAGGCCAAACATGTATGGAAGCTGAGCAATCTCCTTTACATGATATCACAAAACATATAACAATGAAGGCGTAGAATATAGTATGATTGATTTGACCGACTAATCTAAACAAAATTGCAAAATTCCTTTTCAAAAGAAATTTACGGATTATCTAAAGTAAGTAGTAGCAAAAATCCCACGTTTGCGCAGGCCATAAGTGTGTAGTTACAATTTATTTTTACCTGTTTATGAGCGTCTGATGATATTTTGCAAACATATCGCATAACTTCTATCTCGGCTGGAGTCTTGATCACTCGCCTGAGAACAATACACAATTATGTCGATAACTTATCACCTGGACAATCAGTAATTAACTTTATATGTACAGTACTTATTTATCTTGCCTGAAACCTTGACCTTGACATGGAATTTATTCTAGTAAAAAAATATTTAGATTTATATATATAGGTACTGTGAAAATAAAAAGTTATATGACACTATTTTATTTCAAATGAATAATCCTTCACATATTATAAATGATTGTGTGTGAAATGATTACTTAGTAAGTTTATATGTTTTTTACTCAATCATGCGAAAACGGCTGAACGGATTTGGATAAAATTTGCCATAAGTACATATAGTTTATTATCTAGATTGAGACATAGGAAAATTTTTTATCGCGCAAAAATTGTTCTGGTGGATTCTCAAAAAAATAAAGTTAACGCGACAAAGCGGGCGGCCGCTAGTAAATACTAAAAATAGTTATAATCCAGCCCTTATTTAAGCATTGTTAGGCATTGGCAGATAAGTTTATATTTGAAGGAATAATAAACAATCACGACATGAGTCAGGTACAAAATTCAAATTCAGGCTCACCGAAGTGACTGGTGATCAAAAGGCTGGCAGCTATCTCGGTCAACGGATCAGCCTTGCCATCCAACGCGGCAATGCTGCCAGCCTATTGGGCACCATTCCTGATGGCGGCGCTGGGGGTGATATATTTTTTATTTTGTAAATAATTTATTTATGTAGGTAGTATAGGTAGGTTAGGCTATATAGTTTTTAAGTTTGTGTTATTTTAATGTATTGTAATATAATCTTGGTACAAAATTAAATGCTAATATTCATAATAATAATAAATTTCTACTTTCTCTTCACATAGTACCTATACAAAGGTGTTACAACAAACAGAGCCTCATGTTGAGCTGTAACTAGTTAACATGCATGAGGACAAAACTTCCACATAATATGTTTCTTAATCTTAAATAATCAATTATTTATTAACAATAAACATCTGATGATACTAACTATACGCAAGTGTTTTAGTGTGATATTTAAAGTTCTAAATTCTTTGGGTATTTTATTATAGATTTTAGTAGCTACGTATTAGCTATGACTGACTGCATCGTTTGTGGAGTTCTCTATACTACTAACAAACCTAATTGTACCTATATTGTTTCTTGAATAGACATCACATGCACATATATAAAAGCTGCTTTTGCTTCAGAAATACATACAAGTCAAATATATAATACATATAAAAGGTAAAAATATATGATATAATAAAATATATAAATAAATATTTCTGCTACCCAATTAGCATAGCCCCAAAGCAAGCACTGCAAGGCTCATTTTCTGGGATACTAAGGTCACGGATGGAATACATATCCCCACTGATACATATATTTATCTAAAAATATATATAAACATCCATAACTTAGGTACAAATGCTCGTATTTAGTATGTTATTGTCAATATATAATTGTTATTAGCAACAAGCAAAAACTCATTGCTATACCACAATATACATTAAGTACACTATAAGTTAGATTTTTTATTCAAAGCAGTGTATACTGTATATCATCACTACATAGTATAAAACAAAGTCGCTTTCTCTGTCCCTATGTCCCTTTGTATGCTTAAATCTTTGAAACTACGCAACGGATTTTGATGCGGTTTTTTTTAATAGATAGAGTGATTCAAGAGGAAGGTTTATATGTATAATAACATCGATTAAATAGTGGAGAAGTACTGTTATTTTTGAGGTTTCTAATGTGATGTCGTAAATAATTACATTTTTTCCGCTTACATTGCAAACGCAGGCTGAACCCTACGAGTTTTATCAAAATAATGTACTAAGTATTGTACACATTGAAAAGGTCTACAGAAAAGTCCGTGATGGTATATGTCTATCTCTTATGGATAACCCACAATAACTTTTTTTTGTCATTTACTTTTTACGACAAATAATGGCTAATTTTTGAAGCGATTTTAACCAATACAGCATTAATCCTTAACCAATTAAATACCTTGAATACATTGTTCATTTAATAAAGATCTATATGGCCCTTTACACCGTATGATTTAAGTGAATATTTTCGAAGATATTACAGATTTAAAATGAAGGGACATAGCGGTTCCGACGTTACCGGGCGGGGGGCTTGGCGGCACGTGCCTATTGTAATTAGGTATTAGAAGAATGTCATTGTGTATAATACAAGCCTGATAACAAAAACTATAGTCTACACTACAGCTCTACACCGAAGCGAAGCGAGGGCGGGCCACTAGTCTCATATAAATAATGATCAGTCTGCCAAAGTACATTAATAAGCAAATAATTATAATAATAAATAGAGCAATGTTCTTGTATGAACAATCATTAGGAGATAGATCATTACCTGTGTCATTAAATAAAGTTATTGATTTCATAATCAACTAATGACCCAGTGCTTTTGATATTTACAGTAATAATACTAATTTAAATAGTATCATTATCATTGATTATATTTGAATACTTTATCATGATAAAATGCAAAGTTTGGCTGGTTACAGATAAGTTATTAATTTGAGATATTTTTTTATCCACTAGTAGGATAAGATAGGTAATCATAATTACTTAGTTACTTTGTTTTTGTTTTCAATACTTACAATTCGGCAATAATCGGGAATAATATTTCATTATTCACTTTGAATCTGAAATAATAATTACAGGTTATGAGTAACATAATGTTATTTCCTGGCATTGAATGAATCATGGTGTTTTAAATCAGTTTTGTTTTTACTGGGAATAGTTCACAGGAAAATTATTGCATAAATAACATATTAATTAAGTAGCAGTTACATAAATTCTCTGTAGCATTAAAACCACGATGCTAGTGGAACTTTTAAAATAATTAATAAAAGAGTTCTTTCTTGGCTGGGATTCAAACCCAGGCTGCCCGTGACGGATGAGAGCTTCCTACCACTGAGCCACTGATGCTTGTTGATAAGGTCTGAATTTTTTAATTACAATGCTAAAGATGAATGTAAATTTTGTGGCAATGTAATATAAGTTTTATTTTAATAAAATATTTAAAACTCACTCATCAATTCCATCAAAAACTGCTTCTTTGGCAGTGAGACCACTATCAGTATTGGGGCCACTCTGTAATTTCAAATCAATGGTATCATTTTCTAAATTTAATATAAGAATACAACATAATACAATTGGTCAATATCTTACCAGTGTCAGAAGAACTTCAGGATTTAAGCTCAAAAGAACATCTCGCAGCTGAAATTTACAAATAAAACTAAATTAGTAATATTACATAAGTGCCAACTGAAATAAGTAAGTGATTTCTTATATATCACTGTAAGTAATCAAACAGCATTGTTTACAAGTGCCTTAGACCATTTAAATAAGCTGATTTAGAAGAAGAAGAAGCTGACAACTGATGGTCTGTATTAATTTGTTATTGATCAGCAATGATGATGACAAATGATAGCTGGAACAATTTTAGTTATTTGCATTATAATTAAATATTAATTCACCTGATCAACGTAATGAACATCATCTACTCCATATATATTTTTGATCTGATGGCATGCAAGAAGTTTTCCCATCCATACTTCATACTCTTCTGGTAAGCGTGGCACAAACAAGTGTGCCTTTCCTGTGCTCACATCTAGTGCGAAATAGCACCCTGGCTCTCTAACACCACACACCCACGTAAAATATGATTCCTAGAAAAAATATACATAAAAGAAAATTACTATCACTAAGTTTTTAAGAATTACTGTTTTATATGTATTAAAAGGTTGCTCAGATTATTTAACATTTTATTTCAATCTTATTACTATCATAACCTGTATTTTCCCAATTTTTATGAGCTTTGCAAAACATGTTTCACATGCTGTTTATCACTTCTGTCCTATTATATCACAATTTACATTATATCACGTTTACCTGTCAAACTCCATAGTAATTTGACAATTGAGCATGATAAAAACGCGTAACATATCATCTCGGTGCTCATCCTAGGGATCTGTACATTATTATAGTAAATGATCAACAGATTTAGATACTTACTTGTCGAAATACATATTGCACGTCGGTATCGTAAAGACTGATGTCATCACCACCTTGTAAAACAACCACTTGGCCAGATTTCAACTGCTCTACTAATCTTCGGCGGTTGGAGGCGAATAAAGAAAGTGGTACTTCCAAAGTACCAGGACCCATGGACCAAGTCGCTGCCATCCTCGACGTTTTACTAAACTCAACTGTTTTCGCCCTCCGGTATGGAACAAAGCACTTGCACGATAGAACTGTTGATGTGCGCTTAAACTGATAAGAGTTATTGATAAATCTTTTATTGCATGATTTGGATAGCCAGTTGTTCAGAGCACACTTTACGTTGATCAAAGCTCTGTAATACTGATATTTACAAAGAAACATGTACAATTTTTAACGAAACGAGCCACAAACTTTTCTTCAGTTTTTACTCTGTGGAAAATATTGTTCGTATTTATAAACTTTTAATTAGTTGAAAATTTTCATTTAAAAGGTCTTTAATTCCTGGATTTTGTCATGATTTTGAACGGATTTATGAAAATATTCAATTCATTCTAACAACCAACAAAAACAGCAAGCTCTTTCTTCCTAAAAAAATGACGTAGACGTTTTATGCTATTTTCTTAATCGACTTTGAATTTTAACACATATGTCATAAAGTTCAAAACAGATGTATACCAGTTATGTTATTGTACAAAAGCTTTTCCTACTCTATAAGAGATGGCGTTAAATTGAAACAAACTTGCTATTGCCCACTAGGTGGCTCTAAAATTGTCTAGAATTTTATAAAGGTGTATTTTATTACAAACAAATTGATATTTACTAAAATAGCTAAAAAATAAATAAATACAAAAAACCAAATCAAGGTACAGCAGCTTATATACGAAGCAGAAGTTGTTTTGTAAAGCAATTTTGTAATTAAGCCTTGTTTTGCTCCAGAGAAGATCTTCCTTGTTTACATAAGTAGATAACTAACTAGTACTACCTATATTACTATCTTATTAATATTCAATATCCATTATCTTATATTTTATTATTATTATTACAAATATCAAGATAATTACCTACAAGGCGATTAAAGCAATGTAAGGGCCATTATGCGTCTATTTCTCTGCTACCCGATTATAATCAAATTTTCAACAACCTAACTTAATAAATCAGTCGAATTTTTAATATTGTAGTAATAAAAGAAACATATTTATTTTCAGGTTTTATGCTCTACCTAGCAGTGTACTATAGTACACGGAACCCTTTCTATGGGAGTTCGACTCGCACGTGGCCTTTTCTTTTAGCTGAGTACTAAAACATACTACCAATTAAGTAGGTTTAATTATTATTTTTACTCAGTCCAGCTATGCACTAAAAGCTCATAAACTTGATTAAAACATGTTATAATAAATAAAGCCTGTGTTAATCAGTAATAATGTGAAGGCTTAGTTGTTTTAGAGATTACGTACGTCTCACAAGTTTACCTCTTTTTCATAATATGTAGTATATAGTGTAGATAAGTATAGAAGTGCAGCTAACTATAAAATACAGCATAAACTTATAAAGTATCCTACTTATATAAGTTTAGGCTGTATTTTAGATAATTGCTGCTGCATGCATAATATAGCATAAACATATATAGGATATTGAGGAAAAAAAAGTTAAAATCAAATTCTTAATTCTTTGAAATTATATCCATTTATTCAATAATTATTATCTAAATCACAAGATCGACGATAAATTAAACTATCTAAAAATCACAAAATGCACTAAAACATGCACACAATTAATATGATTTTTATACCCGATTACGGTACAATTATTGTACATAATTGCTACTTATATTTAATGAAGGATAAAATTACCTTTTAAATTAATATTGCCTAAAATTGCCTAAGTATAAGCACGTTGTCAGTAGCAACGAAAAACACCACACATTTGCGACTTGAATGGATTTTCCATAACCTACATACGCACGCACACATGCGATGAAGTAACTGTAATTTATATAATACTACCTGAAATAGGAATTAACTTCTATTCTCTCTACAATCACTTTTAGAAAGTTAATTTGGTATATACTTAATTTGTAATATCAAGGAAAATGACTGTAATGGATAAAATGCCCTAGATAATACAATAAACAACTATGAAATATTCTATTAGATAACAATGTTTATTAAAGTCGTAAGTAGTGCTCTGTTATAGGTAGATAAACAACTACAATAGTTAAAACCAAAAGGGAGTAAACGTCTATATAGAACAGCTATAAATGACGATAATCAATAGTTAAAGCTCTTGAATACTTCACATTACAAAATGGTCAATACATTTAAGTTAAAATATAAGATGGAAATGTCTCAGCGTGACAATAAAATTGTCACGAAGTTTGAGGTAAATATTATAGAAATAGGTATTTCGACGCATAACAATATTAAACGCTAATTACGTCATTCAGTACTTTGATCAGTTAAGGTCACTATAAAACGAAGAATAAATATTATGATTGTAGAGTATGCGCGGCCATTTTGGTTCGTTCTCGTGACTCGTGTCGTGTGTGACACGTCATAGCTGGCCATCTCTCTCCCGCACGTTCTCTGCATATAGCACCATTGTAACCCGACACGTTTCTTACACACAAGCGATTTCACAACACGTTCCACACTTTCACAACTAAAATGTTTTGTTTATAAATTACGGTATTAAGAATCTACTGATATTTCATGACACGGTTGTTTCTTTTCTTGTAGCCGTCTTACGGCCTCGGCGACAAGGGCACGCTGTTCTATCAGTCGCTCGACGAGGTCCACTGGTTCTTGTTTTCTTATGTAGTATGGAGCAGCTCTAGCTCGAGCTTGCAGGTGAAGCTTTTGTTTTAGGCCAAGGGTGAGCTCTTCAATGGCTGGTAATCTACTCGCCGGTAAAGGGCGACCTTGTTCTTCGGAAGAGTGACGATTCTCGTATCTTTTTTCTTTCAACATACTGGAGGATACAGTGACTAATACAATTACAATTTTGTCTAAACAGGAATTACAGTTTACACCGGCTAAAGAGGCAGTGCGCGACACGGTTTGCGAATACGGAATGAATGAGCGAGTGAGCCGACTCGACCCAAGCGTAGGAAAGACAGGGTTTTGCGGGTGAACAGGGGAGGGAGGGGTTATGACGTAGCCAGATGCGCAGTCGTGCCGGACTGTATACAAACAATACGGCGGACGTAAATAAACACGAGACGGTACAGTAATGTGAACGGTGTTATCTTTGTGTTAGTGGTTCAGCTAGCCGACCGACTGGCGCGACAAGACGGAGTGGCCGAGGGAAATTTTTGGGGAATGTTAGACGACAGGTGATTTAGATTAATTTCAAACAACAGTTAAATTTCTTGACAAATCTCGACTATCAATACGATCAAGTAAATACTGCATTATTTTCACTTGATATTTTATGAAATTGTTATTGTAAGAAGATTAAATACACAACTTGATGAGTAATTAGCAAGGCCAAGGAAAGTAGGTACCTATATAATAGAATACTTTTCAATAGGTAAAAAGCATATTTTTTAGATTTATTCTCAATCTTGGGATCACGCAACCTGTAAAGGGTCTGTCAAAAATCATGAAAACAAGAATAATGCAAAAATCTGCCTAATTGCAATGTGTACCAGTTCAAAAAATGTTAAATTATACGATTTGTCTCCGAGAAATCCAGGAAATAAACTTATTTTATTTGAATGACGCGCCCTGTACACATTAAAATTAATTACCTATTTATGGCACAATAATTGATATAATAAACGTTTATGGTAAAATAACTACCTACCTATTTGTTAAAGCAGTACCTACTCATTCAATTAAATTTAAGTATTCCATTGTAGTAGGTGTAGTAAGCTATAGACAAATAGATAATTATTTCGTAAATAAGCTTGTGTTCGATGAGTCAATGTTCTCGTGGTGATTTGGCTGTGTAGTTTCCATTCCATTCTACCGTTTCGTTGAACAAAACTCAAATCGGACATTGCCCTGAACAGAGACGGCTGTACTTGTTTTTTTTGTCCAACGGCCACCGCAGAGATCTTTTAAAGCTGTTAATGAATATCACTTTGAACATAAAAAATAATTCACACTCGCAAATACACGATATGGTTTGGTTAACATTCAACTCAGTCACTGATAATTATTTTGTTGATTCATCCTTGTCATTAAGTATATCCCTTAGTGAAGATCTTAGCTTTGATAGTGTTGAAATAAATTTATTTACAAGAAATTATAAACTTATCTTGGTATTTACGTGAAAACACAATAAAATGATGAATCACATTACGTATAACTAGCCGAATCACCTAATTTTTGTCTTAGTTAGATCATCAAATTGTTTTAATAGTAAATAATTACATTTGTTTACCTACCGTTGATATTTTATTAAGATAAGACAACGAAAGAAGTCGCTTATAAAGTTATTAAAATCATTCTAAATAGGTACATGTCCTCTTATATAGTAGTTATGACCTTCGATAAGATTATATCAATATCAAACAAACCTACAATGTACTTAAACGAACTTAACTTACATTGCTACATCCATATTATTATAGATTTCTTCTTATCAATTACCTACCACTTCCTTAGGATTATAAAAAAATAAACACGAAATAGAACTTTTTACGTATTGTTGTTTGCAAAAGTTTGATTGATTTTATTTAGCACATTTTGGGTGATTAATTGAATTCAAATTATTTTGTAAGTACAGTTACATTTTTGATAGAATCAAAGGCTTAGGAACTAAATAAAACTAGTTTTTCACGGGTTAATGCAAGAAACTTTATTTATTATTGGAATGCGAAACGTCAATAAATAAATAAAGTTTCGTGCATTAACCCGTGAAAAACTAGTTTTATTTAATGAGTGATGTGCGTGAAAACCTAAGAAACAAATAGGCTTAGGAACTACTTAGTTACTATATGATTATTCAATTTGTGCTTAACATAACAAGTAAGTAAATAAAGTTATATATTTCGATATAAATAAAATGTTTGACTCGTATACGAAACGAACCTTGTAGTGGGGTCACCTCACTATATTCTGTTTTTATCTATATAGGACCCTGATATTTATGATTCACTATTATTTTTTAAATTGTATTTGTGCGCCATCTAGTGACGTATAGAAATATTACGAAGGTATTCATAATAGTACTGCTACTTCCCGCAACAGTAGATGTCGCTACAGTCAAAAAGCGTGCCGTGCATATCAATGACAGTACGTGTACGGTTCCGTCTGTACCAGTTAAGATTTTAGACTTTTTGTATAGTACCAGACTACCAGTACATAATACGTCCATGTTTAGTACTTTGGGGCCGCGATCTGCAATATTTTTTTCTAATTAAAGCCGAGCTTACCTATTTTATTTATGCTAGCAACACGTAAGTACACATCTGGCTCAAAAAGTCTCCAGACGCAGCTTTCCCCTCTGTCAAAATACGAAGCCAAATTGTTCCTAGTTGGTCACCTCACAACTCGAATAATAATAATATTTGCCAGATATTTTACTAACAGAGGGTCTACCGGTCTAGTCTAGCGAGCTCGTAAATGCTGTAGTACTGTTTGGCATTTAAAATGCCCAATTGTTCAGTTATTTGCTGTAAAAAGAGGTCTGGGACATCAAGCTTACAGAAAGATGGAGTAACATTTCACAAGTGAGTAAAACTATTAACATATTAGGTATACCTATTTTGTTACATTCAAATACTAAATTCATAATAATTCAAACATTGGATTGGATTTGTTTTGGTTGGTTGGTTTGACATTGACAAACAACTCTCGGCTCCGCTATTTTTTTCAAGACTAAGATTTATAGCACAGTGTTCAAGACCTTTTCTGTATGGGAATTGCTCAGTGTTGCTAGACGTCACTTCGATTTGTTCTGATATTACACCAAAAAGCTTTCTTTTAACTATCAATGTGTGTATATATGTATGTTTGTTTGTTCGGTCTACCCGAACTTGCAACTCAATTTTGAAGCAGTTATCTTCACTGATTGAGCTGAAATTTTGTACGCACGTTTAAATAAAATTGTAGAGGTTCAATAATTACACAAGTAGAGCATATGAGATTTATTTAAAAAAAAAAGGTTTTTGAAGTTATACTTCTTTAGGCGCGTTATGAAAAAATGATGAGAGTGAAATTTTAAAATGCGCGCGCATCACTGTAACACAACATTTTAACAGCATGCGTTACTTTTGTGTTTACCGCACTTAAGAAAATCTACCAACAAAATAGAAATAGAATCTCTATTTAGTGGGTGCTAACGACTGCATTGTGAAGGCCTATCAAAAGTATTTATTAATCTGGAACAACGGAACCAAAGCGCGATTCAGGAGACTACAGCGCCATCTCTTGACCATTGGTGTAGTAGAACCAAAAACCACATCTTTATTTTTTGTAATAAAGTAACAGTTATAGGTATTCATATTTATAATATTTATCCACATGTTTCTAGTTTGTATATTCGGAATACGTGTTTGAGTTTTATACAAGTGCAAATCACATATGTTCTAATAAATTATATTCAGTAGCGATTTTAATTGAATATTTGATTATTTATTTATTTTTTCAAATTAAAACTGAAGTTCAGTTTTTTTAGTCCATTACATATTGACTATGTCCTTTTCCAGACTTTTTATTAATTTATTGTAATTAATTATTTGCATGCAATTAAAAACTAATTTTAAACGATGCCAAAGAAGGATAACTTCTCACGCGCCTACATAAGTACACGCACCCATTTTTTTTTTGTTGAATTATATTACTAAATGTTTGTCTAAATTCGCTAGTAAAATTTCCCAGCGAACTCAGTTGCCATGGGTCTCTAGATCGTAGATGGGTACTGCTTCATAAGCTACTTAATCTCTGCTAACCGCCCCGTTAGAAAGAAATGCCTGGGTAGAAGATACTTATTCTGTGCCATCCACCCCGTTAAACGACGGGATCGGGGCTACCGGGGTCGTTGGCTTAGATTAAAACAAAAAGGGTAGATACGGTACGCTCATACTTGCATCAAACAAAAACTGATCCTACGGCAGCGCGAACGGGATGGCGAGATCCGCGTCACTGCATTACCGACCCGAACGAAACAGCACGTTAAGTTTCAACGGCAGCGTAAACGAGACGGCGAGATCCGCGTCATTGCACTACCGACCAATCACGCGACCAGTACTCGACGTCACTACCGCATAATATTCAAAACAAACAGCAATTTTTATGAAAAAATATATTTCATAGTACTTACGAATAAGTGATGCTGTGGCTGTTATTTTTACTTCTTGAGCAATTTGAGCACTTTTTAAAAACACACTTAGGCATTGTTTTTTGGCGTTCACATGTACGTCGTTTGCGTGTCAAGTTGTGACTAAAGCGATTAGGGTCATGGACCACAATTCATGCGGATCACTTTTGTGAGGCTAGTGCCGTATCTAACCTTTTTGTTTTAATCTACGGTCGTTGGAACATTTTTTCTCCAACTATCCCGTTAACGCGGCTGGACGACCGGGGTGGATGGTACCGACCCAATAAATGGCTACAAAACAAGTGTTCATCCATAAAATAACAATAGTTCATTGTCTAACCTTATGTACAAACAATTTTTTACTTATATACTCGTATATATATATATATATATATGCATTGTTACTGTTGAAATATAAATAAAAATACCAATACAAAAATAAACAAGTATCAAGAACTTGAATGAAACTCACTCGTTGAGGTTAGTATTTCTTCATAACATTGCCCTTTTTGCATCAGAAGCGACTCCATTTGTTCCTTTGCATAGGTAATTATTATGACTTATTATTTTATAAATAACGCTCGCACTCAATTTTTTTTGTCTTCTTTCTCCTATCTTAAGATTCTCCCATGACATGATTTTTATGAACACAGAACATATAAACTCCTTCTTTACCAAGATTTATAAATGAGGCCCTAAATTCTGGTGATACCAAATTATTCACTCTGATAAGCTATTGTGGTGCGATTGTATCAACTTATAATTAGGGTTGCAACGATATATCGGAATATCGATAATATCGAGACCAAAATATCGATATTTATA